GGCGAAAGATCGTTCTGTGGAACTTCGTCGTTGTCATCGTTCAGAACTTCTTTCTGAGCGCACAGTATGGACGGAATTGGAGCTGTAAGTCGTCGAACCGTGGGATATTGCAATATCCTCAAGGGCAATGGCTGACATTTCTCGCTTTCTCTCTGCAACAGTTCTCTGGAGCTCTAAGAATGCGGAAGCCTGGCAGGTGGGAATCTTGTGTGCCTTTTTCTTTGGCGCTGTCTGGGCCGCGCTGCTATACTTGTTCGGTTACCTGTCCAAGTCTCATAGCTGGATCATTCCAGTGTTCGCTTGCGGCTTGGGGGCTCCGCGATGGGCCCAGATGCTTTGGGGGGTCTCAGGGATTGGGCTGTATCTTCCCTGGGCTGGCGGGGACGTAGGCGGGGCCCTTGTTTCTCGGTCCCTGTGGCTCTGGCTTGGAGTCCTGGATTCCTTACAGGGCCTCGGATTCGGCATGATCTTGCTTCAGACCTTGACTCGGATGCACATCTGCTTCACTCTGCTGGCTTCTCAAGTGCTAGGTTCAATTGCGACCATTTGCGCCAGGGCGTTTGCTCCGAACAATATTGGTCCGGGCCCGATTTCACCAGACCTGACGGCCGGAGTCAGCTCGGTTGCCAATGCCTGGTTCTGGATTGCTATTTTCTTTCAGCTGCTAATATGGTAAGCACATTATCCTCCAAGCATTGATATTCGAACCCAAGACTGACAAACACTCTTCCGCAGCGCTGGGTTCTTGAGGTTCTTCCGGAAAGAGCAACTTTCAAAGCCCTGAACGGCAAGTATCCCTCGACTTTCTGTATTGGAACGCTCTTAGCCTTCTGCCTTGACGGCGACGCGAGGTTCCGTGACACTGCTCTTTATCTATGAAGATATAAGCGCCTATATACTCCGACATTATATATAATCGTCGGTCATTTATTCGTTTCTAATGTTCTGGGCGGTTTCTTCTGCTCTGGTTTATGAGGAGTGTACTATTTTAGCACTTTTGCTCTGGCCATTAGGCACATTCGCATGTTGTGTACATTGATCGCGGCTCTTCTTGCTACCGACGAGCTTGTCTGACTTTTCTGCTTCGAGAGAAAAGCAGGGCATTGCATATTGATGGGTTTCTGTGGTTGCACAAATCTTGGATGTCATGTCGTTCCTTTGTATGACCTGCCGATGCTATTTGTTTCGCCTCGGGCTGGATGTATCACGAGGGAAACTAGACTTTTGCATTATGTCTGTTTGTTTGGGATTACGATATCCATGGTCAATTAATGATTCTTTATCTGCACAGTCAAAGCTACGGTCTCTGTATTGCAAATAGAACGATAGCATTAAAGATATCCGTATGTGGTATAATAAAAGCGAAGAACAGTATTCCCGAAAGCCCGCCCAATGCATTGCAATAGAAAATCAGAATCTCGAGCGAGGTGAAATGAAGCACCATCCAGGTGAAAACAGCAGAATACGAATGCATGAACGGTCGTAAAATTTTTGCTGAGTGAACGGGAAAAGGAGCAATCACGAAAAAGAACATTTACCACTCCAGAGGCTCGGTCTTGACGTCTCCACGGTTGGTTTTGGGGACGGGGGCAGCCTGGATCATGGTGGCGCCGCCGCGGTTACCGCGCTTGAGGTAGCCGCTGCCGTCGAGCCAGGGGGTCTCGAGGGTGCGCTTTGCCTCGAAGGTACGGATCTTGTCCTCCATCTGGAGGGTGAGGCCGATGTCGTCGAGGCCGTTGATGAGGCAGTGCTTGCGGAAGGCGTCGACGTCGAAGGAGGCGAGCTTGGAGCCGGCAGCGTCCTTGATTTCCTGGTTGACAAGGTCGACCTCGATCTCGCGGCCGGCGGAGGCCTCGGCGGCGATGGCGGCGAGGGCGGCCGGGTCGGAGATGACGACGGGCAGCATGCCGTTCTTGAAGGTGTTGTTGAAGAAGATGTCTGCGAAGGAGGGGGCGATGATGCACTTGATGCCGAAGTCGAGGAGGGCCCAGGGGGCGTGCTCGCGGGAGCTGCCGCAGCCGAAGTTGGGGCCGGTAACGACGAGGATCTTGGCGTTGCGGTAGGGCTCCTGGTTCAGGATGAAGGACGTGTTTTCCGAGCCGTCGGCGGGGTTGTAGCGGAGTTCATAGAAGAGGGCGCTGCCGAGGCCGGTACGCTTGATCGTCTTGAGGAATTGCTTGGGGATGATGGCGTCGGTGTCGACGTTGGAGCGGTCCATTGGGGCGGCGATGCCGCGGAGGGTGGTGAACTTGGGGAGACCGGCGCTGGAACCGGCGGCGGCCGTGGCGGCGGAAGAGTTGGCGTGCGGCTCATTGTCGGCCGGCATGTCCATGATGCGGTCGAACTCGTCTTCCGTCGTGGGGTCCTCGTGCTCCTGCTGGATGTCCAGGTGGGGCTGGGCCTTGGCCAGCAGAGGGCTGGCGGTCAGATGTTCACGCACATCGGCAAGGTGGCCGGCGATGGCGGCGGCGGCGGCCATGGCGGGGGACATGAGGTGAGTGCGGCCGCCGGCACCCTGGCGACCTTCGAAATTGCGGTTGGAGGTGCTGGCGCAGCGCTCCTGGGGGGAGAGGATGTCGGGGTTCATGCCCAGGCACATGGAGCAGCCGGCCTCGCGCCACTCGAAACCAGCGTCCGTGAAGACGTGGTCCAGCCCCTCGGCTTCCGCCTGCTGCTTGACCAGACCAGAACCGGGAACGACCATGGCGCGCTTGATATTGGCGGCAACCTTCTTGCCGCGGACGACCTTGGCCGCGGCGCGCAGATCCTCAATCCGCGCGTTGGTGCACGAGCCGATGAACACCTTGTCGACGGGGATGTCCTGTATCCGGGTGCCGGCCACGAGACCCATGTACTCGAGGGCGCGCTTGCAGGCGACCTTGCGGTTCTCGTCCTCGAAGTCGTCGGGTCCGGGAACGACGCCCGTGATGGGGACAACGTCCTGCGGGGAAGTACCCCAGGAAACGGTGGGAATGATATCCTTGCCGTTAAGGACGACGGTCTTGTCGTAGACGGCGCCCTCATCGGACGCGAGGCTCGACCAGAAGGCGACAGCCCTCTTCCACTCGGAGCTGTCGTACTTGGGGGCTAGGGGTCGGCCCTTGAGGTATTCAAAGGTGGTCTCGTCGGGGGCGATCATGCCCGCGCGGGCACCGGCCTCGATGGACATGTTACACATGGACATGCGGGCCTCCATGCTCAGGCCGCGAATGACAGAACCGCAGAACTCGATGACCGCACCAGTACCACCCGCGGTGCCAATGACTCCGATAATGTGCAGGACCACATCCTTACTGGTCACGCCAGGAGGCAGCTCACCATCCACCTGAATGCGCATGTTCTTGCTCCGGCGGGTGAGGAGGGTCTGAGTGGCGAGGACGTGCTCGACTTCGCTCGTGCCGATACCGAACGCGAGGGCGCCAAAGGCACCGTGTGTGGAGGTGTGGCTGTCACCGCAGACAACGGTGGTACCGGGGAGAGTGAACCCTTGCTCGGGACCGATGATGTGAACAATACCCTGGCGCCTATCTCCCATGCCGAAGTATGTGAGACCAAACTCCTTGACGTTCTGTTCGAGGGTGGTGCATTGCAGACGAGAGTCGGTCTCTTCGATGAACTCTTCGACATTCTTGAAGTTTTTCCGCGACGAGGTAGGGATGTTCTATTGCTCAATTAGCTTTGATTGATCTCATACAAGGAGATGAGAACAGCATACGTGATCAACTGTGGCGAGAGTGCAGTCCGGCCTGCGGACCTTGCGGCCAGCATTCTTGAGACCTTCGAATGCTTGTGGGGAAGTCACTTCGTGGACGAGATGTCTGTCTGTGACCGGTTAGCTCTAAGACAATTGGGAAAATTAGTTACGAGTCATCATACCGATGTAGATGAGGAGGGTACCATCCTCCTGCTCATTGACAATGTGGTGATCCAAGACCTTGTCGTACAAGGTCTTGGGCTTCTTGTCTGCGCCAGGCATGAGGGGCAAAGGCGAGCGGAAAGTCTGGTAATACGAGACAACAGCAACAACTCCCTTTCTTGGCTAATCAGTAAGAAGAAGAAAAAATGAAAGACAGATGCTTCAATGCCTTGGAGATACTAATAATGACAATTATGATGCCGATGCAATCTCAAGGAGGAGCTGCAACATTTTATCGGGGATGGGTGGTCGCGATGTCGCTCAGAGACGATGAGGGGCGGATCCGACATCGGTCCGGTCAGCAGAGATTGGGTTGGCTGTGATTGGTTGGCTGCAGAGGATTCTCCTAGGGGCTCCCTCCGGTACCGGTCACTTGGACCGCTTAGTCGCGGATGTCACAACGAGGCAATCAATAATCATTGACTATTATGAGTAACGCGGGTGCTTTGATTGACTTGTCTGTTTGGGGTTAATCGTTGTAGCGTGTGACGGAGTCTATTGGTTTGCACTACTTCAGATGCGAGAGTCTTAGGAGACCCTGGAATATGATTCATCTCCATAGGGAGCTCAGGAAGGCAGCAAGGCAGCAGGCAGCAAGCAGGCAGCAAGGATGAGACACTGTCTTAGTTTGGTCCATCCTGCCGGTTCCTGTCGGATCTCAGTGGACACACTGTCTATGAGTGAACAATCCGTTCCACATAGGATGAGCTTTTAGTCTACTCCGTAGATCATGGAAGGCCGAAGGCGTTCCGAGTTTTTCAGTAAGACTCACGACTGTTTTATGACTGCAGTAGTACTATTGAACTGACCTCGATTTGTGTGCAGCATATCCAATAAGCAGGAAGATACCGTCGAAACATATTGCCCTGCGAGAGATAAATGTAGTACATACTTATCGCAATGCATGATGCATGTGCTGTTCGAAAACTGATGCCGGGAGCTTGGGTAAGTTGAAGTTGTGCTTCGGTGGAATACATATACAAAGTATCTTGTCTGTCTATGCAGACTTTCCGATTGAATATGCAACTACACATTACAATTCCCATTGAACATATTATATACAATCACGCAACCCAGTCATCTATCACGCCTGCCCAATTGGCTTCGATCCAGTCTCGAAAACAAATGGTGCAGTGGTAGCCAGCCATAGTGTAGGTTTGCCAGTCACCTTGGGATCTGATCCAATGAGGTTACTAGGAAAACCAAGATCCATCGGCTTCACACTCTCCAGGTACTCGATCTGCTCCGGGGTCAATTTGATGCTCAGCGCCTGAATGTTGTCGTGCAGGTGCTCGACCTTGCGCCCTCCGACGATCGGGAACACATTCGGCGCCTTGGCCCGCACATAAGCCAGAGCAATGGCCGTCACGGACTCGATACCATGCTCTGCGGCCACCTTCGCGAGAGCCTCACTCATCTTCACCTCATCCTCCGTCTGCTCCCTGGGCCCGAGCATGCTGCGCAGGCCCTCGCCCTTCTTCTTACGCTCCTCGAGAGCTTTCTTGGTCTGAAACTTGCCGCTGCCCAGTACGTCCCACGGCGCCAGGGCCATACCGAAATGCCGCGCCATGGGGATGATCTCGCGCTCAAAGTCCCGCAGCATCACGTTCCACCGCCCCTGGTAGACGCTGAAGGGCGTCTTGCCGTGTGCACGCGCATACGTGTTCGCCGCGCTCACAACCCACGCCGGCGTGTCCGAAATCCCCAGGTATAGCACCTTGCCCTGCTCCACGAGGATGTGCAGACTGTCCATGATCTCCTCGATGGAGGTGGTGTGGTCCCACCAGTGCAGGTAGAGGATATCGATCCAGTCCGTCTGCAGCTTCTTGAGCGAGTCGCGTACGCTCATGTGCAGACTGCGGCGGTGGTTACCGCTGTGATTGACAGCATTGCCTTTACCTAGCGCGTGGGCCTTGTAGTCGATTGTGAACTTGGTTGCGAGGACCAGCTGGTCGCGGTTCTGGCGGGCGGCCATCCATTCTCCGATCCATGTCTCCGATTGCTCGTCCTGGTAGTTGTTGGCGGTGTCGATGAAGTTGCCTCCGGCCTCGACGAAGGCATCAAACAGCTTGAAGGAGGATTCCTTGTCCATTGAGCCCATGACATCCGACCAGGCGTCTCCGATCGACATGGCGCCGAGCTGCAGCGGAGACACGCGGATGCCCGCGTTCGAGGAGAGGATGCGATACCGACCAAGCTCGGTGCGAGGCTCGGGTGCTGGCCTTAAGAATTCCGACATGTTGAGGTTGTTGATAACAATAAAGGGGCTTATCTTTATTTAGGCTTGTGTAGAATGGCCAGTTTGAAAAGGGGGTCCTTGTTGATGCTTTTATAATGGCATCTTCCTCCGGGTTTAGGAGACAAGCGGATCCATGATTTCATGACCTTATCTCCGTTAACCACTGCGAAACGGGAACAGAGAAAGTTAGTTTGGCCTAGCAAGAGCATTGGGGACGTAGACAAAGAAAGTCTGTCTGTCGTGGCATAGTAATGCAACCAGATGACAGAAAGCGGAGATATCCCCTGGAGAGTAGATGGTGGCGATGGAATTATCTAGGTAAGCAACGCATTATAGTACCAAGAATGAGGAAGAAACCAAATCTGATGACAGTAACTCCGTGGCCCGAGTAGATATCAGAAAACAATGATGACGATGACGATGAAGCCTGGGGTCTTAGGCTTACTGATCCCTAGTGGCACTGGATTTAGGCTCGGAGTTAACGGTTAGCGTCTAGTCTTACCCAAGCCTCGGCAGACCCAGAGCTAGGAACCTAAGTCGCTAAGTGTCATCTCGAGAGGATTTGAAATACTCAATATACTAATTTTTGGTGATACGTTGATGTTGGTTTTTCAGGCCCGCATCGATCTTAGCCGAAGCTGCGAATAATGGCGCCAAATGTAAAGAAGTTGATCTAATTTACAACTCGTCTATCACACACAAAGACTATACGCCGTATCCAAATGCTCTATTATCTTGCTGAAACACCAGCAACGCCAGACGATGTCGTACGAACAAGCCCAAGGCTCCACAGACGGTCTGAACCATGACCATGTGCCACGCCAGACGATCCTCCCGCATCGGTCCCATCCAGACGAGCCACAGATTCAGGATCGTCAGATTGGTCGACTCGACGATCTCACCCTTCTCGTTCTTTGTAATGCGAATCAGCCGCAACCTGTGCAGGATCTCTAGGCCAGTGGCTACCACTGGGGACGGAGGCACGGTCCACTCGGTCACGGACGCGTCCAACAGCCCGCTCATGGCGTTGAACTTGGGGAGTCGGTGACGGGGACAGGGGATGATGTGGAAGAGCTGCGGAGTCGAATACAGAAAGTTGAAGATCTGTGGAATGAAGAGCAGCAGGAGGGTTTTGCTGAAATGGCCTAGAATCCCCACCACGGCAAACACCATCCCCGCAAAGTAGCAGTAGGTGTCGCCCACAAACACCTTCGATGGATACCAGTTGTGGCACAGCAAGGCCACCGAAACCCCGATGAAAGGGAGCAGGAAGTATAAAGAAAATAGATGCGAGTCGGTAGCCGGGTGCGGGAATGGCGTTGTAGGTGCAATGTATAAGAGATCATTCGCAACCAGTAGCACCGCAATCACGAGTGATTGTGCAACTTCCACTCCGTTGATCCCCGCCAGCATGTTGATGGCGTTGGGGCAAAATATGGCAATAGCGGCCATGTACACATAGTATAGCAATCCCAAATCCACGAAAGCGCCCAAATACGGCTGCAGGGGCACCGGCACGACAACATGCGTAACACCAAAGTCCACAAAGTAAACAATGAGCATGGGGATTGCACCGAATGCAGGAATGAGGACTTTGTGTCTCCAGCGTATATCGAGCAGATCATCTCCTATTCCTAGTATGACAATACATTGCAAGGAGAGGAGCCCCGACAGATAAGACGCAAGCTTCAACATGTCAGTTACCTAAGTGTGATAGGAGAACTGGCAGGACGGACCTTGGAGTGTGGAAAGCGATGAAGAAAGCGACCATTCTCGACATGATCAATCTCGAGCACTACATCTCGATTACCACCACCCGAAGTAGCTGCAACGATGTCCTTATAAAAGGCAAAGGGAATGAAGAAGATGAGCGCCAGAAGATACACAACAGCGCAAACAGCCCCCATCGTCTCCGGTCTAGCAAATCAGTTAGCATGATAACTTCATATTTACACGGCTAGTAGCGGACAACTCGAGGAGCAAGGATGAGAATTATCGAAAGGGAAAAAGCAACAATTCGCATGTGTTCGTACATTTCAGGTCTTCTTGGCTTCGCCATGTCCTTTCCCTTTAGGCCGGCTCTCATGAAAACCGGTCCCAGCCATCGAATTAGACTAAACGTCAATGCAAAAGCAACTGCGCTAAAAGCAATGGATGCGATTAGAGGTGCGCCGTCACCTTGAAGACTATTCACTATGATTCCAATACCCGCTCCCGCCAGCACCAAGAGACGCCAGGTCTCCCGACGAGAAAGCGAGCTTGCATATGCTGAGTTCATTGTCAGGGAAACAGCTGCAGCATTACTGTGCTGTATATTAGTCCTGAGCGCGAGCTCCTGAGAAGAAAAGAAGGATCAATTTCTGGCATTATTGCATTCAGGCAAAGGGTTGCAATCTGGCATCATTTCACCCTCGACGCTCCCATGCCGGTTCTGCCGGTCGTTTGAGACCGCCCACATGGCGGTGAGCGCTTGACATGCTTAGCTGATCTCCAGTCAATCCGCAAGAGGAAAAGTCTCCAATTCAATTGGCCCCACAAGATACAGACAGTTATTGTTGTGATGATAATGAGAAGTGCTTCCGCCTAATTCACTGGCACCTCTGGCTTACCTGTGTACAAGGGTGGTTTGCTGCTCTTCTTCAATTGAAGTCGACACGCCTGCTTGAATCTGCATGGTATTCCGGTCTGTCTGTCCCAATTGAATGAACCTGGTCCCCGGGATCCTTCACAAGGGAACACCTGATCGGCCCGACATGTCCTCTGGATTCGCCGACTTCGATGCCGGCCATCGTGACTTGGTGACTGTGACCAAATTCAACTTTTATGGCAATCGCATTGTCACCGCTTCTTCGGACCACCGCATGAAGGTGTGGGATCAGAAAGATGGTGAATGGCAACTGGTCGATACCTGGCGCGCTCATGACGCTGAAATCCGTGATGTAAGCATCCGCTCCTTGGGCCCATTGCGCCCGCAAATACTCACCTGTGACAGGCGACATGGAACGGTCCGTTTACTGGCCAGCACATAGGCAGTGTAGGCGAAGACATGAAGTGCAAAATCTGGCAGGAAGACGTCACCCAACCACCCAATTCGGGGCGACGCTTCAGGTCGATCTTCCGTATGACGGCCCCGCAACGGCATCCGTTCGTTTCTATGGACTTTCGCAACATTGATCTTGACACCTGGCTCGCTGTAATTACTCGAGATGGCTACCTTATGGTCATGGAACCCGTCAGCCCCGACTCCCTCGCGGACTGGCAGCCCCTGGACCAGTTTCGAGTTTGCACTGCGCCTCAACGCGGTGAGGAAACCAGCTTCAAAGTGCAGTTTCACCATGATCCAACAGATATTACTCACTTAGTCAATCCGAGCTGGGACCGTAAGAGCCTCTCTCTTGTCGTCGCCGCGATGGACAGCGTCAAAGTATACCGCACCGACGCCAATCGTCGCTTCTACCACGCTATTGAATTGACTGGGCATGGCGGGCTTGTCAGAGACATCTCCTGGGCTAATGGCTCTGTTCGAGGCTACGATCTCATTGCTAGTGGCTGCAAAGATGGCTTCGTACGAGTCTTTGAAGTTTATACTTTGATGTCAAACAGTGGTTCGCAGAACACCAACGGAAGACACGTCGAATCTCATTCACAGTCACCCTCCTTGCGTGCCACCGCACAATCAGGGATTGGGTCCGCTCTTGCAAATCGAACACCTGAGTCGGTGACAAATCGTCCAGCGACTGGTGATTCTCAGTTCAAGCATTCGTACAAGGAAGTTGCTTGTATCGACAGCAAACATCTCGATGTATGGCAGGTAGAGTTTTCCTACGCAGGTGAGTTTTCAGGGCACTCTTGGAAATCAATCCCTGGCATGCGACTGAACTATTCTAGGTGACTGTCTGATCTCTTCTGGTGACGATGGTGCTGTCCGCTTCTGGAAGAAGTCCTTGTCGGGCAAGTGGCTCGAATACGCTGAGACCGGTATAGACTATGAGTGAATTGGCGTTTGTCTTCTGACGCCGATTGACTACCGCAATTAACTGCTCATCGAGCCTTCACCCAAAGGTGGCAGCTACGTAGTTGCTGCTCGGCGTTCTCGTGGTTATGCGTGTCTGACAGGGTTTTATACTCTTCTCTTCTGTCCTTGTCTCCATTAGACTATGATACCCAGCGATACCTGCTTGCTTTTCCTTTAAGGGCGTCTTTTCTTTCTTGTCAAGGTTCCGGTCGGGCTGATGGATTTGATTTCGTTTCGAATATGCCAATAGACTCGCTACCTCGAACCTCGTCAACGGCTCTTGCTCCTTTCCTTTTTCGCAAAATAGACATGAGAATGTGTTGTTTTGACCCGGGCGGCTGTGTGAGGCAAGAACGATCATCACTCATACGCATTATATCCTCTACATATTCCAGCACCGTCCCTGGAGTATCTCATCCAACCAGGCGGACCTCCTGGCTTCCTCGCTTTGTGCACCGTATCTTACTCATATTATCATTCTTAGCTGGAAATCATGGCGGTCGGACCGACCCTTGGGACAGGCCTCTTTATCGGAGGTGGCCAGGCGCTGGCCGCCGGGGGTCCTGCTTCCTTGCTCTTCTCCTATTTGTTCTTGTCTGTTCTGGTATACTGTCTCGCAACCTCCTTGTCGGAGATTGCGGCTCATATGCCGGCCCAAGATGGCACAATGGTCTCTCACAGCTACCGATACGCGTCGAAACCCTTGGCCTTCTCCATGGGTTACCTTCGCTGGTTTTCACTGTCGATGCTCATCCCGTTTGAAATCACGAACGCTATTGTCAGCCTTGCAATGGTAAATCCCTCGCCTGCGGTTGCGCTTCGTGTCAGCATTCCTACTTTGATCATATTTGGCTTCAACATGCTTCCAGAAAGATCGTTCAAGAAGTCGGAAGCTGTTTTTACCTACTTGAAACTGATCACGGCCACGGGCCTCGTCTTTCTCTCCATTGTCTTTGCCATTCCAGGTGTTTCTCACTCTCCTGTT